GCTGTGGTTCTTTCTTTAGATCGTTGTGGTGCTGGTTGATAAATTGGTTCGCATGCAGATCACTGACTGTTCAGCGGTTGTCAACTGGCTTTTTTCCAAAGACATGAAGGAGAACTTTACAAGGTATTTTATGATGGAAATTTTACTTTTATGGATCGCGAAAAATTGTACTTACAAACAACCATGTTTTTATATCAATCATTAGGATGTTGAAATTATATACTGCATGTAGGAGGAAATTACAGTTTTATCAAGACCTTAAGTTAATAAAAGTATGTTTCAAGATGTTACATCTACCCACGTGGTTTTGAAACTCAAGTAGGTAACATTTTGTGGTTGAAGAGTTGAACGTAAGTAATTTTCAACGTCACAAAAAGCGATTTCTTTCGTAGCTCAGTTCGGTTGTTGAACCCTTCCACTCTTAGGAGTGACCGAAAAGTATTTTCTCTTAACAAAATCGATACCTTCCAAGGGGACAGGTGATGAGAATTCAGAAAAAAATACCAACAAGGGAGTTTATATTAGTTGCCGCCAATTTCTCAGGCCTAAAATGAAAAGAAATCTGTGGCAGACAGTTAGGAGAATTACTCTTGAGATATTGGATGAGGAAAAGGAATATTGCGAACTCTGTTGTGACATAAAGTATCAATAATCTAGATTTCCCTCCTTTCCTAACACTCTTACTAGTGCTATCCGGCTGCTGTTTATCATTTGAGCAGTTTTAATCCTCAAGAAAGATTGTGCACTTAGTCGTTTGTCTTTTGTAGCTCCTCTGTCTCTTCTCTTCGTTCTTTCTTTCTTGTTCGATCCCTTTCTGTTAAATAATTTGATTCTTTTATCTCCTTTCCAAGATTATACGTGTGGGAAATAATGACGAGTACCTTAAAGAAAATGAGCAAGCACACTAGTAAGGTAGGAAGGATTGCACGTTGTGCTTCAAAGGTTCTTAAAATTCGAGTGAATTTTAAAATTTTAAAGTCGTGTGTGTTGTGTCTGTAGGTTTCAGGAGAAGTACAGGAAGCTAAGGAAAAGGTGGCGAAATTGGAAGAAAAAGCCAAGAAACAGGTCAATGGTGTGATTGATGAAATGTCATGTAACGCATAGTTCTAATGTGGTTTTCCCTTGAATCGCGTAACTTATTTTTCTTGTTCGGGATGAAAACCCGTACTGAAAAAAAGTTAAAACTCGAACAGCCCTTACATTAGGACTACGCTGTGCGGCTATTTCGTCAGTGCAACCACCATGTGTAAAGAGACTTGGAGGTCAGGTCATTTTCAATCCTGTACTTTTTCTCTCTCTATTACAGATGACCGCTGGAAAGTTTTTTGCACGTGATCACGCACAATTACCAACGATCTGCGGCGATTATATAAAACTAGTTGCACGTGAAGGTGTTTCTATCTTTTAAATATGATTTCTTTTTGAGTCAGGCAGGAGAAGCGAATGGAAATTCAAACCTTGAACCTGGTGTAGCGGAAGATTTAAGTAAAAAACAAAAGCAGCTGGAAGAACTTACAGAAAAACTGGAAAATGCCCAAAGAACGCAAAAGCAACTCTTCCTTATTGTTTTCCAGGTTAGAAATAGCACGAGTTTTGAATGTGATACGTAGAGAAATTTAATGGTATTATGTTGTATAAAAATTAAATTTTAGGTAGTCAAGACCGTTTAAAATGAAAGTTGAGTTGGTTGGCTAGATTGACCTATAAATCTTTTTCTGTCAATATTATCATTTTGATTATTAAGATTGTACAGTTCGTAATAAGAGTGTTTACAGCTGTTGTGAAATAATGACAAATTTCTGATCTGTGTGTTCTCTGTCTTTATAACCATATTCCAGCGTTTTATAATGATCTTAACGGAACACATTGTTCGCTCTGAGCAACAGCAGTTGGATGTAAACACTCAATGGTTCAAGTACACAACAGAAAGACTCCGAGAAATATTAATCACGGTAATTTCTCATATTGTTATTTGATAGCTAAGGATTGGCGTATTCCTTTAAGAAGCTATAGAAGAAAAAACTTCTAATGATGTACAGAAAAATAAATTGACCAGCCCTTAAGAAGCTTGCACTTGCTTTAAACTGCTGTATTGCTTGGTAGACTATGTTATTATCCCGCAGCAATAGATTGTGTTTTTTTTAATCATCATCTCCATCATTTTTGTTATTATTATTATTTTATTATTAATTAAAGTATTGTCACTGTTCTTATTACTTGCATTACCTTTTTGAATTTCATGATAATCGACATTGTCATTATCATCGTCATTAGCATAACAGTCATTGTCATCGTTATTACATAAGTATGATTATCATTATTATCATTAATATTATTCTTAATTTTTCTAAATGAGCTACGTTCGTAATTTGGAGTCTTTTTCGCGCACGCGCAATACCACCTTCGTTCCTCGAGAGAAAACAAAAATTCCCTCAGTAAGATAGAAAAACATGACAACAATAATTCAGGTAGAAGCAAGGACGGCCAAGATTGTAGAAGATTGTAAGGGACGAATCTAGGCTAACTTTCTAAGAAGCAACCAGCCTTAGCTCGTGTGAGCTGTTTCATTTAGAGCAGAAGCATTTCTTATGATCCTCAGAAGGAGTGGAAAAGATTGCAGTTAGGATTGAGGGGTGTGTGTTTACACCAGAAAACGTTAATTGTCTTTATTTCATCTGTTCATTTCAGAATCATAATCAAGTGTTCCAGTACCTGAGCTCCCTCGAAACCTTGCTCTTCACATCTGATCTTGATCCGCGCATTTTGAACTTGTTCAATCATTTTAAAGCCTTAAGGTCGTAGATGGATGGCATTCCTAACCTTTAAGTTTAAGTTAGAGTAGTATGTACACCACACATATGGCGGAAAATCGTAAAAGTTATTTTACGAAGGTTTCCTCTCACTCGAGCAAGGAACAATATGTTTTTCCTCATGCGCTAATTTTCCAGAGTTTTCTTTGTTCCGCTTCACTCGTAAAGCGATGAAGGGTCTATGGTTTGCTCTACGTCTGATTTTAAGTGTTTTATTTCTTGTCATCATATATTTTATTGCATAATTATTTTTTCCGGCATAAATTATCGCTCAGTTGCACATGCAACGCAACCATTCTCAGCTGGGTAAGCAACGGTTGGGTCGTTTTTAAGCCAATCCCTGGCTTTGTTCCTCTCTCCACACGAAAACAAAAGGCCTATTGTTTAACAATCGGTCGCTTCTGGTCGTCATAGTAAGCTATGAGTTTTTATGACTTTGTAATTGGCAATTTTAAATATTCAATAATTGGAAAAGTGCTGAATTCTTAGTCAGAATCTCAAAGATTTGTTGTCGTTATGAATTTTTAATTGAGTGTCAAAAGTAATTCGGTATTACTTTAATTTTGCTTTACCTCGCACTCTGATTGGCCTAGAATACTCGCGCCATCCTTTCAACCAATCAAACGCAAAATGACTTAATCACCTGCGCTTTCACGTCCTTGAGGCAGTTTGCCTGAGTTTGCTTTGAGTTCTTATTGGCCTATTATGATGTTAAATTTTTTATCTGATTGGCTGTGTTGATTACTCTAGTTTTGGTTTTTTGACCTTCAATTAAAAACTTCCCTAACCTTTGATAAAAATTGAGCATGTGTTTTTATCAAACAGCATGTAAGCTGGGCACCCTCGTTTTAACTCAACCATTACGTTATCTTTTAATAAACAATAACCAACTTGCTAACGGTGTCGTTCCTTATAATTGACTCCATCGTGTCGTGCAGTTTTACGTGGTTTTGTAAGAAACCTTTTCGGTGTTCGGTGTAAAAAGACCAAGAGTAGTCGCTTTTACCCCGCCTAGTCCGTTGCATCAAAAGGAATCAGCGGCGTTTAGATGTCTTCCCCCTCCTCCCATGCCATTCAAGGTTATCAACAACCCTCACATCCGGAAAGAAAAAGTCTGAAGAAAGAACAGAATGTTGTACCTTGTTATGCCAAGTTTGGGGAGAAATTTTTCTCTTTTTCCTTTAGAAGTAAAGCGTGACATCCATCTCACTTCATCTGTTTCATATGACATAAGTTTGTACCAAACTGCATTTAATCATATTATGATGTTGATTTTAATATTCGAGCGCATGCCAAAAAGCGAATATTGACGCTTGAATTTTTTGCGGTCCTCCACTTAAACAAAATATTTGTTATAGGTTAGAAGGTTTAAGTGAAAATTGGGGAAAGGAAATTTGCGACTTTTTAGTTACTTGTATTTATTTCTTTCTTTTCAGCGCAAGAACGTTATATTAAGTAGTGATGCTGGTTGACGCTGTGCAGGTCCTAAATAGTAGCATCCTTGAGAAGTCGTTGATCGCTAACAGTATCCCATTTATCCAAAAAGGCTTGACAAGTGTAATCATGAAGATATGCTCGGAAGTGACAACAACAAATCTTAAGTTTTCCACTGATTTCATCAAACTGCGTCAGACAAAGCTGCAAACCTTGATGATAAGAAAGTTTTGGTTAAGTTGAAGATGGCTACTATGCGTTTGAAAGATTGCTAGAATTTAGCGCGGAATAAATTCAAATATACGTGATACACGGAAACGAGAAGAAATTTTTTTGTAGACTGGGTCCTAGGTTACGCTTAAACACTTTAACACGATCACGCACGTTTGAATTTTACGGTAATTTACGCTGTGATCTTATATTAAGTTTCCTTTTTTCGTTCCTTCATTTTATAAAATCTTATTTCGTAGTTTTATTTGCGTGATATACATGACTGACTTTTCTTCCTTTGTATCGGTTGAAGAGATCATTATCAAATTCTCTTTCATTCGATTAATTTTTTTTCCCTAACTGCTTTCGTTACGTAGAGACCAAAGCCGGAAAAGTCCTACAAGGCAAAAATGAGGATTACTTTTGGATTGGATTTGAAATGTTCTTCAATAACTTAGTCCTGGGCCCGCAGCCCATAGTCCGCTGTCCACAGTCCATATTCCCTGTTCACCCTTTCTGTGGCAAAGCAAAAGCTCTAAAATGAGTGGACGAAGAGTGGGAGTTTACAATTGAATTAGCGCGCGGCCGGCCCACAACTGTGTTTTCCATTAGCTGAATGATGACGGACTCATTAGTTTTCAGAAAGGACAAAGTTGAAGATTTTTATGATATCGGTGATGAAATTGGGCGGTGAGTAATTTAACTAAATTGATGAAGTCTTAGCTGCTAATTTCCTTAAGCTTCTTATATTTGAACATTTATAGTTTGTAAATAAAATACTTGAAATTTTATGATGTAGATGTGTAAATTTTGTTCTCTTTAGAGGACAGTTTGCCGTCGTTAAGAAATGCGTGGAAAAGAGCACAAATACAGAATTTGCGGCCAAATTTGTGAAGAAAAAACGGAGCTTAAGTTCGAGGCGAGGGGCTACGGCAGAGCAAATCGCTTACGAGGCAGAGCTTCTTAGAAAGGTTCAACATGATGGGGTTATTTATCTTCACGACGCTTTCGAACGCACTGCGGAATTCACTCTTGTCCTGGAACTGTGAGTCATCTACTTTTAACATTTTTTGCTATTCTTATCGTTCAAGCGAAATATTTGTTTGTTTTTTTCATTGTGTGATTTATTTGTGAACAATCATAAGAAAGATATTCTCGAATGTTCCAGTGGGACTATACGTGAAAGAAAACCACTTACCGGTACATGGACATGCTATTGGTTCTTTAAGCCTATTTGTTGAATCATCTCAATAAAAAGTAATTTATAATTAATGATCTATGTTTCACCGGGTTATGGGTACTTTATGGACTAAGTTAAAGATACAAAAGGATTTTAAATTGATCCTTTTCCAAAAGTCAAAATTAGCATATGTCTCCTTAGGCAATCTCAAACCTTAATGCGAACTTATTAGACTTGTCACTGCAAATCAAGAGGTATTGGCAGATTTAATCAATAACATTCTCTCCAGCGTCCCTAGAGAGCTTTGAAAGAATTTCCTGACGTTCAAAGGTTAAGGGTTTCGGGTTCTTAAATTTCTGTGGCTCAAGTTTCCCGACCAGTTTCCTAAAGTGTTGTCCCTCTCATAGCATTTTATTAAGTAATGCTTCAAAGCATGGGAATCCGAAACTCAAAAACTGTGAAAATGATTTTTTTCCTTTGATAATCACTGTGCCTCGGCCCTTTAACAATTAAAGTTAACTTCAATTATAAAACAATATATTTTTTTTGTGAGCATAAATATGTTTTGGGTCAGACTCAGCATCATTTTACCCCCTGCCTAAGGGTTAAGTGACTCTGAAAAAGGCTTAATACTATTTTGACAAAAAAAAAACAACAACAACATTCTGAACAATCACTCAAGTGTGAGAGTGTGCCAAAATACATTTTAAGCCTTCAAAATGTCTATTTTAGCATGGAAAAATATGCCACAATGCACAAATAAGTGATGGCAATGAGATAATTATTGTCCAAGGAGTCTCTCTGTATGAACATTTCACCATTGTTGTTTTGTCAGTACAAGATTTATACTCCATTGAGTAGACTGCTTGTCCAAATATACAATTTTTCTCGGGATGAAATGCAAGGAGACTTTAAAAAAAAAGTTTCACAATTGTGTTTTTTTACAAAATAAATTGTAGTGTTTGTTGCAAAGGAGAGCACAGGAGCCATTGTTGAATATTATCAATGGGATGTTTAATATTCACCATTACAAACATGTAGATAGAGCTTACATTTTTAAGGGAACTTCCCAAAATGTGGTTCTGATCAAGTCTGAGTATGTCTGTGGATACAGTTCATTGGCAGGGTCAGCAGACCTTGAATGAGGAGTGCACCATAATAGTTTATCAGCCTTGCTCCTTAAAGTGTATATTTTATATAACATTTTATATGATTACAACGGATGAATTGACAACCATTATTATTTATGCTAAAATTAATCAGATTGAGTGGAGGAGAGTTATTTGAGTTCTTGATTGAACAAGACTACTTGACAGAAAATGAAGCAATGAGCTTTATACAGCAAGTTGTGGAAGCAGTTGATTACATTCACAACCGTCACATTGTACATTTGGATATTAAGGTGAGTTGAATTTTGCTTTTTTTCTCAAGCCTTATGCCCCCCCCCCCTCTCCCCCTGGTGGGAGACTCACTGGTTGTGCAAGGATATATTTTTTTCAGGGATATGTATGCATACCATTTGAATTTTAAAAAAGCATAAACTTAAGTCCTTTTGCAACAAATTTAAATTTTGTGGGAATATTTATTTGAAAATCATTCCTCTTTTGCTTGCCCAAGCAACTTGGTCAACTGTGTGTTGCTAATTTATTGATGTAGAAAAGCTCTAATAAGGATGAATCAATTAATAGAAGATTCACAACTGCCACTGATGTTGGTCATTTACCATGCATGAAATCTAGATGGTTAAATCTAGAACTTCGCTTGGAATAGAAGAGCAATCTTGAATTGGTTAAAACTGGTAAAGAAAGCTGTCTGGCTGCACAACATGAATTGCTCCACACCTTTGAGCAAAAAGATTTTAAGTACAAAAAAACTCCAGGTTAAAGGTTTTGCAGCTCCTCAAGCTTAGTTTATGGTCACAATATAATGAACTAATTACTGCTTCCTGTTAAGTGAGTATGAATTTTTAGTTGGAGACCTTGGTTACCCTTATTATGTGTCAGTCATCATGGGTCATCTTCATCATCATCATCTTTGACAGATCATTTACCTCAATACAAAATTGAAGCTGTTTTTAAATGAAAGAAACAAACATTTCTTAGATGAAAAGTCATTTAACTTTATTGCCTCAGTTGAGCTTAGTTTTTTCACAACAATCTCCTATGCGAACTAGCTCACTCCAACTCTGGTTGAACATAGACAAAGAAGCATAACATTCTAGATTTTATTTACCAGTCAGAGTCAAGATTATTCTCCGTGGTTTTTTCATGCTGGAGGTTTTACTGACATCACATTGTACACATGCACAACACACCGTAAGGAAACTTGGGAACTAGTGCAGTCTGTTGCAAGTCCACAATATAATTATCAGAGCTTTCAGACTTTTTTAATTTACTCAGTAACTTCTGAAGATGTGTTGGGGCTTTGATACAGTGGCAAATTTTGAATGAAATTGCATTTTGATCAAAAGAAAGGATTGCAGGGTGCAAAGAACCAATTGAATCATAAAAATTACTATTTTGAGCAAGATATTGTCTAATGAGTGTAGATGGTAGATCATGGTCACATCATGGTTTGTATTTCATGAGTCATAGCTTGTTTTTGAAGTTGGAGCCCTTATAATATTCCAATTTGTATTTCATGGCAAAAAATTAATTATTATTCAGAAAGTATTTTTTGTTGGATTGGGAAGGAGGATAGGAGTGCAGTAAATCTTATACACAGTGACTGCAATGTATTTTACCTAGCAGTCCTATTACAATGACCTTTACATAATGTGAAAACTTTTCACTCAGTACAACTTCAAACAAAATGCATGGTCCACAATGCACAGCCTACAACTAACAAACCACATCCCATCTTTCTTTTTCACAAGTCAATTATTTCCCTTTCAATTCCAAAAATCTGAGTATTAATTCTCCTTACTGTCTACAATTTCTATGATGTCAGTTGAGAGAACATGGCATTAGATCAACTAATGATCCCCTATTTTATTTTGTTCTTTATTCTCATCGCTTAGCTGCTTGATATTGTATGGATGTTGTAAGGCAAAATTTAATCTTGGTCACGCGTTGGAATTACAGGCTTAATAATCTTTTGAATTTGACAAAGCTTAAAGTTCATCATCTTCTCCTTTGATTTACCAATGAAATGACCAATTTTGGAGCCATGCTTTGCATTATGAAGGGTTCAAGAAGTAATTGTCATATCTGATCTACACAAACAACTCAGCTTCTCTTGGGCATTCTTTTATTAAATAGCCACTCCACATTGTTTACTGAGTTTATATTGTGTCCTTTTTATTTTTAGATTGTTTATATCCAATACAATGTGATCTTTTGAGTCAAATTGAATTACAGGGTATTTCACAGTGAAACTCTGGAATTGAATTGTTTTTTCAGCCAGAGAACATTGTGTTAAACAACAAAAAAGAGAAAAAAGTGAAGCTGATTGATTTTGGACTGGCAAGGATTATTCCACCTGGAGATGTGGTGAAGGCTATCATAGGCACACCAGAGTTTGTAGGTAATTATACAGCTAGCATGGGTCAAGCTCGCTGTTGAGTTCATGACAGAGTTTTATTGAATGTATCATAACTATTCTATGGTAATGTTTCCACAGCTCCTGAAGTCATCAGCTATGAACCAGTAGGAACACCAACAGATATGTGGTGAGGCTATGGTATTACGTCATTATATCACTCAGTTAGTACATGAGCTATGATTGGTCAGTTTAGCAGGCTGTAATTTACTGTATTTAAGCTCACTGAATTCAAAAGTCTGATTGAATTGAATAAAAATCACCCTCTATTTGAATCCAGAGATTATAATGCATATCTTGCTAACCTTGTTTTCTTGGTTCATACTGTAAGGTACGGAACCTTGATTTTTTTTCTGTTTGGATTTAAAACCTGCATGTTTTGTGCCACTCAGTTAGGAAGAGGTGTACATGCACTTTTTGCAGTAATAGGAAATGCAAGGAAATGCACCCATGTAAATGTCTTGCAAAGGTCACCATGAGTTCCTAGTGATATTGTATCAATAGAAATGATCTCCAAACATCATTGAACTAATAGAGATTTAGGAAGTGATTTATTTATCTGAGACTGTTAAAGATTAAAGTGCATTTAATCCTACTTGACTAGTCACTGCATAAGCATAGCCACTAACGCTATTTTCATATAGTAGTTCCAATTAAACTTTAAATTATTTTTCTTTTTATGTGAGTGTATAAATATATAATAATTTATTATACAATTATTGATACACCTGTTTTGAAAATCTGAAAATATGCATTAATTATATGTACCTCTTCTTGTATCATCAAAAATGTGTTGCATGATGCATTTATATTTCACATCAAAGAAACAATACTTTTTTTGATATTGTGCATGTTAAAGTGAAACAAAGACTTTGGAAATTTGACACCAGCTATTGTACTTTTCTTTTGTCCCTATAATTCATTCTTTCCATACCCTTTAATGGAGAAGCAAAGTTAATTTAAACTGTAAAGTTTTTGAAAATGGGTAAATATGTATATATTTATATGTATATGTGCTCCTCTGGTGGTTACTCAGTTTCAATATTAGTCCTGTAGGTCCAGTTCTACTGGATTTACAACTATGTCTGTTTCCTTTTTCAGTCATCAGGGTATTTTTCTATCAATAACAAGTAAATTCTCTAATGTAACTTAATGACTGCAGATGATGGCTTGTTGACTTCCTCTTTTATTTTTTCCTAGGGCAATAGGAGTATTGACCTATATACTGTGAGTACTTAAATTTATTTTCTACTCTGTTTTGAGGTTCAGATTTCCCAAGGAGATGGTTATGACATCACTGGAAACAATATATTGCTATCTAGAATAGTGGCAGGCAAAATTCCTTTCCATCTAAGATGTTGTTAAGGCACACCATTTCAAAGCTAACACCCCTGTGGTTTGGTCACCTTAAGAGCCATGCCATTTTCTAATTGTCGTCAAATACTTCAGTTCGTCAACTACTTACTCTTTAGGTTTTAATGCCTTAACTGAAAAAGTTGTGTTTATTGCACTTTCTTTTTAAATTCTTTTTTATATTGGTGACTCAAGTATGCTGTGCTACTGGCTGCTCTTCTTCATAACCACCTCTTACAATATCTTTATCTTTTCTCCTCCAGGCTCTCTAGCGGGGCATCCCCGTTCCTTGGAGAGGACCCTAATGAAACATTCGTTAACATACAGAATGTTGAATATAGATTTGATGAAAAATATTTTGCTGATATTAGCCCTCAGGCAAAAGATTTTATTAGTTCCCTTCTAATTAAAAACTCAAGGTGAGTGTGATGTATGAGTCATTGCTTAGGGTTAGTCTCTCTTGAGAGTCATAGTGTTAAATCGGAACTTTTATTTAGCCCGCGAAAGTTTTACGTTTAGTAATAATGTAGCATTTTGAGGTAGCCTTGGTTTATTTAGGGTTAAAACACCTTCGATTTCCAGATTATATTTTGGTTTTAAAATAACAATATTTTAATATATTGTTTCAGTGATAGATTATCTGCAAGAGATTGTTTGACACATCCCTGGCTGAAGGTAATTTGCTGAAGCACTAATCAATCTGCAGTAATTATCGAATGGGAACTGTTCGTATTTCCTCGCCATAACATTTTCCAGAACATATTACGAACTTTTTGATGTCACTTATGTGGCACTTATGTATTCTTCGGAAATGAAGAAGCAATACCCCTCATTTGGTGTAAATGTAAGCTCGGATATTTGTCTGCGGACATTGTCTTTTTCCTGAAGCGTAAAGTTTTCCAATAGAAATCTCGAAGAAAACTGTGGGTTTTGAGGATCAGATGATGACGAAGGATAAATATTCTGTATCAGCCTATTTTAGCCAGGTGGAGCCTATTTTGTTTTATTGTCCTTCAAATATCTTAAAGCGCGCAGGAAAAAATAGGGTACAAACAGCTTACCGCAAAACAACTTGTACAACATGCGATGTTGATTGTCGACCAGTGATCTGTCGTGGCCAAACCAGTTTACTCCATCTCTTGTTCCAATGAAAAAACCCTCTACCATCTTAAGTGAAATCGTTGACGAAGACGGTTATCGAAATGAATTTGAGGTCTAAAATCAACGAATATCACTTAGGATTATCATTGGGTTTACCATATTCCCAACGTTTGGTTTATTTCGTCATGTGATGTGTCCTCACCAATCGCTACCAGTAGGTAGAAGTTGAGTTAAGGTAACCACACCACGAGAAAGACCTTTGTGACCTTGTTTGAAGGAACTACGAGGTATAACTATCAACCTGAACTTTACAACCTTCAACAACAGCAGGTACATTAGGCTGGCGTTCATATCTGGAGATATGAACGCCTGAAATCTGAAACATATACATATTTTATTTACCCATGAAGATCTCCAGCCTGTATTATTTATTTCATTCAATTTTAAGTCTAGGAATATTATATCACAGTTTGAATTGTAACCCTTTCCCTCCTGCGAAAACCTTCATGTCCGTATAGCATATCTTTTATCAGTCAGCAGGATTGTTAATGTGTCGTCCAGGATTATGAAAGTCACCTTTGAAAACCAACGTCTCTTCCTCTAGTGCGTTATTACGACACTAATTGACTTTTTTTACGATCTTAGACGGACCTTGAAGTGGCTACGAAGAGAAAGAGTACCTTGATCAAAACGGACACTTTTAAGGCATTTCTGGCCAGGACACAATGGAAGGTAAAAGTGAAAACATGATGTCAGAATACTGAATCTTTTGATCTTTTACAGTGTAGGTGGCAGTTCTTCAGTTTTCCTTGAAGTGCTCCAGTATTGAGAAATTGAGGAGGCACATCGCGTGGGTGTTTCTAGAAAACTAATAACTAACGACACTTAGAATTCAATTGTTGTAAGCCTGTGTTTGGTCAGGGAAAAGCTATGAAATCATTTAGTGGATTTACTTTGGTTGAAATTCGTTTTCTTTACTCAAAACTGAACGTCAGCGCCTCTCACGAAATTTTTTTGGGAGCTTTCCCCGTTTACAATATTTCCATCATATGCAAAAAAAATTTCTCTTCCAACAGAAATCCTTGAAGAAAGTGATAGCTATAAACAGACTAGCTGTTCTTGGAAAGAGGAGTGATGCATGTAGAGACTTGTTCCCTGAGGTTTGTATGCAGTGTAATTCTATTTCTGTAGGTTAATTTAGTTTGCTGGACCTCTCTCCGTCGTATGTTAGTATTACAGGTGGCAATGCAATCAGAGGGATACAATCTTAAAAGTTGATGTTGAACCTATCAGCAACGGTCTCTCAAGGAAAAAAAGGAACTGGTTGCTAGGTTAAAGTGTCCTCTTTATACTCCTTTCGTTAATAATAATAATAATAATAATGATGATGATGATAACAATAAAAATAAAATTAATTAGCCACTTCCCCAATTTGCCTTTTCAAGGAGAACAGACACTGTGAACAAACATAATGTTTAAAAGTCCCATCTTCTCAGAGGCAGACCAGTAGGCTATTTAAAAGGGGCAGGCATGGAGTTGAACTCGGGAGAACCGAGAACAAATACAGAGTGTGGCAGGATGGAGGGCTTGAACCCGGGACCACCAGATTACAAGACTAGCGCCCCAACCACTCGGTCACACTGCATGCCTCCTCAAATATGATATCCCTCACTTCAAAAAACCAGGATACCCAATCATGGACTGTGTTCTATCCTGCAGGGCGATAGCTGCTCAGACGCATCAGACAGTGACACAGAAGGGCCCGATCACAGTACTGAGAAGAGAACTACGCCAACGAATTCAAAATTGCTTGAGGATAAAACAAACGCGGTTCTTCATCTGAATGACAGTGAACAGTTGAAAAGTTCAACTATCGATAGCACACCGAAAAACTCCTCGGATGGTTGCTCTAAAAAGTAATATTCTAGTGCTATCAACTTAGCAGGGCAGATACAAAGTATTTAGGACTGAAATGTAGCTTACTATGAGAAAAGAAACAAACAGTAGTGTAACTAGATAATTCTCTAAAGATAGATAGCAGGGGTTTCAATGAAAGCTGGTTATGGCCGCCTGTTAGACCTCTTACTGTCGTCTTTTATCCTGCTAGCAGATGCTCAGAATGCTGGCAGCTTCTAGATTTGAATGGTTATTGCCCTGAGGAGCCTAACCCCAGACCTCTCGCAGCCCGTTTTCCGGGCACAGCCACCTATTTCAGCATCGGCAGTCGCCGTTATTGAAACCCTTGAAGAAAGAATCAAAAGATTATTAATCCAAACTGTTGCAAATTTATTTAAGTTAGGATTAACATTCATATTGGAATACGAAATTCTTCCTGAAGTAAACTAAGCTGTGTATCATAATACTTAGATGTGATTTGATGACATGTTTAGAGGTCGTAATTGTACAGTGAAACTCATATTTCAGCAAACTCCGGTTAGAAAATGTAGCTGAAGGAAATAACGAAACGCCCTGTGACCATTGAAAAAATTGAAAAATATGATCAATATAGAAGTTAAAAAAGCAAATGTGTTTAAAAGAGAGCATACCAATCAAACCGTACTGAACTGATCACAAACTAATTCAACCCACTGCGAAATATGACTAATTATGATGAGATATAACATCAATATTTGTACATTAAAATCAAAACCTGCCAAACGCAGACGTCATTGGAAACCTACAGTAAGCGACAGTAGATAATGTTACTGTAAACCTTTGGAGGCCAATTTTTTTTTCGGGTCAACTTTGCCAGGATTTTCAGTATAACAAGCGACGGGTTAGAAATGGTCAGTAATGGCTATCTACTTTTGTTGCTTATTATAGATAGTAAACATTTCTATATACGTAAGATTTCTTTTAATAAATATTCAATTCATAGCATGCGAAAGGCGAGCTTATGGGTCAAATAGACCTACTGTGGAAGTTAGCCCAACGCAGGTTTTCTCGTTTAATAAAAACATTACTATTTACCAGTGTTGTTTATTCGTTACTTTCATTCTTAAGCTCAGCGAAGGCTTACCATCCCTGAGCTGAGGACTTCCCAAAATATAAGATGCAGTTTCTATGGCCTGCTGAGCGTGCGTCAGTTTGGCAAGCGAGTGCTCAATGTTTTCTTGGTGAAAATGGTGAAAATTGCAGCTGCCTCCTTCGACGTTTACGGCAGCCGGAGGCTGGAAAGAGAAAGACATTTGTACCAAGGGAACGAGGAACAGTCAAAAGGAAGGAGAGGGGAGGGGGTGCGGCAATAAAATCTTCATGTCTCTCTCCACCCCCTTTCCGCACTGTCCACTCCTACTCTAAATCAAGCTCTCGTTTCATTAAGTATATTTTGTTTCTTTCAGAAATTGTAATGATTATTATTAACTGGTACTTGTCTTCCTGCATTCGAAAATACATAAGTTAGGATCAATATTCAACTTGGAATACGAAGGGCATCATTTATTAAATGGGAAAATCCAACTCGAAACAAACATATGATGCATTGAGATCTATCTCTATTATACTGATACGTTGTATTTGTCTTTGTATTTTGCTTTGGTTGCTTTTCTCTGTTTTCGCTGCTACGTGTCAGTGATCATACTCCTGGTTAACAAGTCAGACTCACGCGATTTGGTCAATCCCTCGTATGATTACAGACCGAATTGGACTCGACTCAATCCTCATACCATCATGCATTTCAAAGGTTCATAAAATCAACTCTTTCAAACTCTTTAAGATTAGTTCGTTAAAATTCCTTCCCCCCCGTGGCAAAAAATTGAGTGAAATTGCCCCACCCAAGAAAAATTTGTTATTGAACAATTCTGTGTGCGATCAACGAATTTTACATATAAGAGTGGCTTTTACGGCTAACGGTCAAAATTTTTGAAATTTTATTTCTTTGGTTTTTCGCTTGGAAGAATCATTCTACGATGTGATAATTTCTTCTAAGCCATTTGCTCACGTTAGCGGACTTTT